GTCTCGATATATAATAGATACCTTTCGTTAATGTATTTTATCGAACGAGAGCCCGGAGTATCGATCAATTGTTAGAATTATGTATTTCAAAAGGAAAACAGTTGTTTCCTTTTTCGTGTTCTAGACAAGATCTATACAATTCAGGCATATCGGAATTTATTTGAAAGAATAAATTTAAGAATTATAAAATTGATATATAGAAATGAAGGCAGTGGCATTTTTGTTCCAATGGCAATTGGATTTATGAAATAAATTATATTAAGACGAGCTGAGTGTTGTACCTTAGTATAGCTATAGTTGTAAGGGGTCACCAGGGGCAGTCTGGCGGATGCTAATGAGAGGCATTTGCATATCCTACCTTTATAAAGCCCAGTATATACCGGGGAATCTTGCATGTCCTCATGCGTGAGAAAGCTGTTTCCTCCCACCTCACCCTTCGCGTGCATGATTCCCGCACCACCTGCTTGCGAACTTCTCTCCCGTGGATCGGAGTCCTCTGTCACAGCTCAATACAATACAATTTTATTCAATAAAATAAAATAAAATACATAAAGATAGAAATACGTAAGACCCGCAAATAGCAATAGCTAATCCGAGGCGGGCATGGAATATAAATTTACACAGTTATAATTTCAATTAATTGCAGACAATTTTACTGTTTATATACGTCTCCCTCAATTGGACAGGTTAAGACTGCCTTGAAACAACTAAACTCTAAAAAAGCCACCGGGTCCGATGGGATTCCCGCATGGGTGCTTAAACGATATTGTAAAGAACTAGCGCCCATCGTTCATGACATTATCTGCGCCAGTATAAAAGAATGTGAATATCCAACTGCGTATAAACATGCCTTAGTTATCCCAGTTCCGAAGGTCAATCCACCAAGAGATATCGAGAATGACTTTCGCCAGATATCCATTCTTCCCCAAATGGCTAAAGTGCTGGAAAAGCTGCAGCTCAAACTGAACCTTCCCAGTTCACGTATAAATGATAATCAGCATGCCTTTACAAGCAAACGATCAACCGTGTCCGCACTCACCAACATCTCGCAGAACTGGTTTAATGCGACCGACAATACGCATAGCGCCAAAAATGGAGTTCATGCACTATTCATAGATTTTCGCAAAGCGTTTGACCTTGTTGACCACGGAATTCTACTTCGTAAGCTCGCAGAAATGAATGTAACCAAAGCCTTTTGGCTATGGACACGTAGTTTTCTGGAAGATAGAAGACAACAGGTCAAACTAGCAGGAACCCTATCATCAGTCAAACCTTGTCCTGCAGGAGTCCCACAAGGTTCTGTGATGTCCCCAGCTCTTTTTAATATTCACATTAACGATATTGAGAACTCAATCCCAGATGGATTATCCATAAATATATGCAAATACGCGGATGATTGTACACAGGACGAAGTGGTGTCACAAGGTTCTTCCAGCCATATGCAGGAGGCCCTTGAAGCAGTACAAGAATGGTCTAATAGGAACAAAATGACGATAAATTCGAAGAAAACAAAAGATATGTGGATATGTTTTAACACAGCAATACCGGCACCAGAACCATTAATGGGTCATTGGAAACGAGGCAGTGGATAGAGTAAGTTCTCATAAACTGTTTGGTGTCTGGCATCAAAACAATTTGAAATGGAACTGTCATGTTAAGAACATTGTAAGGAAAGCAAATAAACGAATGTTTAGTCTGAGAGAATGCCCGTAGAGCGAATCTTCCTCCTGAGGTCGGTATTACATGTTATGAATCCAAGATTAGACCTGTTTTAGAATATGCAGCTCCGATATGGGGTGGTTTACCACAATATCTCATTGATGAAATAGAGAGCATTCAAAACAGATGCATCAAAATCCTCGACACATCTCGGTGCAACTTTGAAACGCTAGAACAAAGAAGGGCACACCTAACTGTTAAGGAATACCAAAGAATTCTAAGTGATCCGACCAACCCATGTAATAAACTTATCCCCCAACCTTTTACCCATGAACACGATCTAAGAACAACAAATAATCTACCATATGTTGTATCGTATACTAAAAGACACCGGCAATCCTTTATACTTAGAGCTATATCCCTTTTAAAACAGTCCTAAATTAATTTTATAGAATATTTAACTAGTATAAACATTTTTAGCAACATTGATGTAAATAATAGTAAAATTTCTTCTTATCAATTTTAACCTTAGCACTTCTTGTAAATCCATTGTACTTTTCTAACCAAAGATGGATATTAAATGTTATTATTATAATCCATAACATTGAAGTTTACGTAATAAAATTGTATGATCTACAGTATCAAACGCTTTCTGTAGATCAATAAAAATACCACACGTAAATTGTTTATTGTCGATATTTTCCTGTATCCTATTAACTATATCAAGAATTGCATGTTGCGTTGAATATTGCCGTCTGAAACCATATCGTGAATGATATAGAATATTTTTGTCTTGGATGAAACTCATAAAGCGTTTGTACATAACTTTTTCAAAGATTCTATTTAAATTTGATAAAAGTGATATCGCTCTATAAATGCCTTTTTCCGTTTCATCACCAGATTTGAAAATAGGAATTACTTTGGCATCTTTTAAAATGGAAGGATAAACTCCATTTTAAATTGATATGTTTAAAATATCAGAATTACTTATAACGTTACTTAAACATTTTAAAATTTTTGTAGGACACGAGTATAAACCATAGGCGTTTATAAACCATCAATCAAGGGTTTATTATAAAATCGTCGCGCTCGAAAGCACGAATTGCGAAGTTATTTACAACATTTGCTTAAAACTATCAATATTAAAATGTACCTTAATTATATGCATTATGTTACAACAATTGTATTACGAATCTATGAATTAATACAGAAAGATAAATGTACTTTTATATTTACAAAATTTACAAATTATGCGATCGAAGACACATACCGTCTTACAAGGAAACAGTGTTAAGCCAGTTTTCCACTTCAATCGTAGCGAAGCGTAGCGTATTTCTTTATTTCCTGATCACTATAGTGGAACTAATGACCTCGACACAAAAGAAAATGCTACGATACGTTATACGGTTGAAGTGGAAAACCGGCTTTAATTAAACCGGTTTTCTACTTCAATCGTATAATATAATATCATACTGTATAGGCTATACGCTATTGGAGAGTTGCACACTAAATTTTAGCGTTACACACTAAATTTTTTCTACGCTATTGGAGAGTTACACACTAAATTTTTTCTTAAATTCTGTTAGCGAATTTGAGCCAAGCGAACATGTCTTGGAAGAGAATTCCAGATTACAGCTCCGCTGTATGAAAAACTCTTTTTGAGAAGATTGCTCTTTGGTTTTGGAGGTGAAAGATTTAAATCCGAGTTTCGCAAATCATGATCATGTACTGTACAGTACTTGATTGGTTTCGCGAAACAAATCTTTTAAATACTCAGGAACCAAGTTGTTAAGCACTTTGTACATCATGATAACTTTTTTAGTTCTTCGCTCATGAGCAAGTGCACGCCACCTAAGTTCAACAAGTAATTCACTAGATGAAGCGTCATACGCGCTCTTTGTGATGGTTCTGGCTGCCCTGTTTTGCAATTTTTCCAATTTTTGGGATAGGCCATCAGACAGAGTGTCCCAAACTTCGCTACAATAGTTTAGTCGTTTTTCAACTAAGCTATGGTAAATTAGTAACAGATTTTGTCTGGACATGAAAGAGCTAACACGTCGTATCATTTTTAAAGCTTGAGTAATTTTTTCGATTAATTCATTGACGTGATCGTCCCAACGAAGATGCTCATCGTAGATTAATCCTAATATTTTGGATTTTGAAACTCGCTTGAGAATGTTATGATTGAGTATTACGACTGGTTCATGATCCAAATTACTTAATCTGTGGTCAGTTCCGATTAACATGTATATTCGGTTTTAGTGATGTTGACTTGTAATCTGTTAGCACAAAGCCATACTTCAATTTCAGCTAGATCTTTATTTAGCTTAATTTCAAGTTCAGATATATTCTGCGATGCAGTATACACTTGAGTATCATCGGCATAAAGGTCAACTTTGAAATTAACAAGGCAGTTTGGAAGATCATTGATAAATGTTAGAAATAGCAATGGACCCAAAATTGATCCTTGTGGGACACCGCATTTAATAATAGCTTCATTTGACAATTTCATATTTACAAAAGATTTTTGGTGCCTATCGCTAAGTAGCTTTTGGACCAGTGCAGAGTTACCCCTTTAAGGCCATACAGGTCAAGCTTTCGTAATAATATTTCATGATTTACTGAGTCGAAAGCTTTTTTTAGATCAATAAATATGACTCCAGTAATCAATCCGTTATCAGCATTGGTGTAAAATTCATTGGTTGCATGTAAAAGACTAGTAACGGTAGAATGTTTTGTTCGAAATCCCGACTGATTTTTCGACAGAATATTGTGTTTGGTAAGATGGTTGTATAATTGATTATACACGATTCTTTCCGATATTTTTGCCACAATCGGTAAAATTGAAATCGGGCGGTAGTGTTCAGCGTTGTTTCTTTTGTTTCCTTTCTTATTTTTAAATAATGGAAAAACTTTCGCTAACTTCCATTCACTTGGAAAAATACCAGTTTTAAAAGACTGGTTGAAAATAACAGTTAACCAAGGTGAAATTATTGGGCCTGACATTTTGAGGATTTTGGTGGATATACCATCCAATCCGGTGGCTTTGCATGTAGCTAATGAATTTAAAATACTTAAAACTTAATATCACTATAATTAATACTAGCACACTCGAGATTCACCTGTGGTCTTGATTTTGAAGGAAGTTCTGTACCAGGGCTGTCAGCAATGAATTCTGTTGCTGAAAATTTCCACTCTTTGCCTTTGATGAACTCCTATCGCTGCTCCTTCTTGTATTCGGGTTTATTTTCTTCAGAAAATTTGATGCTAAGTATGCACTTCCCTTCTTGTTTAGATGTAACTTGCTTGAGTTAAGACAAGAATCATCGATTCGCTCATTATCAATAATCATTTCTTTTCATAGCAAATTTGCTTGAGCCGTTTATTATAGCCTCGGTAATTTTCAGGTTTGCTTTGACATCTTTCCGATGTATTATACCAGAGACGATTACACGAGGCGCTTGCGTCAACGATTGGATCTTCTCTGTTTCGGTCGCGAGCTTCGATGCCATGTCTGTTGGTGAATCATTTGACGTAATGTTATTAGTGCCCATGTGAATAATAACAGATTTTTTGCATTTTAATTCACAGTTATTAAGCATAGATGACATATCTTCAAGTTTTCCCCCAGGACGACTTTTCTTAATAATACTACCATCAGCCGACATCAATTTCGGATCAATGTCTTTAATCATTGAGTTTCTTATGACTTTCAAATTTAGTCCACTGCCCTTCGTTGTCGCGTTCAACCGTATTTTCGTGATTTAATGCATGATTACTTTCCTCGCTTTTGCTCCAGTGCTGCTTCGTTTTGCTTACTTTTTGCGGATAAATCGTCTAGCCTTCTTAATACAGAGTAAATGGTCTTCCGGAGTTCTTTAACTTCTTCAGACAGGATTGTGCAACCCTCACATTGAGAAACGCTGGCTTGCAAAGCAGCGTCTCCTTCGACAGGTTCGTCTTCAATTATGAAAGTTACAGGCATGTTGTTCGTCGCGGCCGCGTCGTTTGGACCAATGGCAGTATCTATTGCTTTAGACATTTTCTCTACTATAGCTTGTCTTGATGGGCCTTGTACTTGTAAAGTTAAGGTTGACAAATACCAGTTTAGAGTTACGGTTGTGTCTGTGGCTTTAAAGGTATGTAGGTTGCCGTTGGTCTTTACACTCCATGAACCAGGTATGGCGAGCTGATTTTCGACATATTTCTTGAGTTCGTCTGCTGTCCCTTGCCACTTAAATTGGTTTTTGGTATCATCGAAATGTAAGGCGCCATGAATGTTAGACTTAGTAGAATTAACTTCTGTGGTGCTTTCGGCCGATAAATCGAGTTGTTCGACGGAGCTCAAAAATGCGTGACCTTCCATGACGAAGCTTGCAGTCTCATTTTGCTGTCTCATTTTGTCAAAAGTTTTTGTGCACAAAGCATCACGTCTTGCGCGTAATGTCGAACATTTGGCTTGGTCTACAGCTGCGTCATAGCTTAATATACATATAATATCATATGTGCAATAAACCATAGGCATTTATTATTCAATTATCATGTAATGGTTCCGCAGTAATTGGCCTAGGCTGTTGCGGTTTCCAGTCGCTAATTTAAGGCAAAGTGTTAATAAATAAATAAATTTAATTTACTTAACGCCCCCCGCGTTCGTCATAACGTCCCAGCATATGCTCCCCTCCGTATAAACACGTCGTTGCTATCGATTCAACCGGATCGTCCAGCCGTACCGAACACCCGTATCAACCTCGTTCCCAGGCTCTTCCCTACTTGTGCGACGAGTCCTACCGCGACAGGCTGATACCACTATCATACTGGCACGAGCATATGGATCTTGTGTTCTTCTTTCAAGCTGTAAACGGTCTGATCGACGTATCTAAAGATGTTCTCCCTCAACCTATTATTCCCACCCGAGTTACCCGATCATCCAGTACCACTGAGTTGTTGTTCCGTCCACAAAAATGCAGAACTACCACCTTCCAAAAATCGTATTTCACCCGAGCCACAAGAGTTTGGAACTGTCTTCCAACAAACTTAAGACAGCCAAATATGTTGTTAAGTATATTTAAAAGATTGCTGCGGAACTATTATTTGGAAGCCCTGCATAGTTGTTATGATGCAGAGGATCCAAAAACGTGGAAATCTGTGTGTTTAAACTGTAACTCTTGTCATTTGGTTTCGTTGGTTATAAAAACTTTTGGTAAAGTGCTCAATGGAAAACCAAAGCATATTTAAATTAAGGTACAACAATCAACAAAATCCACTAGGCATCTTTATAAAATAAAGATTATAAAAATAAAGATGCCTAGTGGATTTTGTTGATTGTTGTACCTTAATTTATATATATATATATATATATATATATATATATATATATATATATATATATATATATATATATATATATATATATATATATATATATATATATATATTTAGAACCTAATCAAAGATTTAGAACCTAATCAAAATGACTTTAGAACCTGTATTAATGGCGAGAAAATAAATGCTGGGAAATTATCGGCTCCTGGAACAAACTGCAACTGCTATTCAAACAATATCAACACTAATGCTTTTAAGCTCCGAACTTTTTACAACGAATCTCATTGGGTCACTCCTCGGCAACTTGATCAAGTCGATAAGCAAATACCGGTTAGAATTTCTACCAGAAATGAAAAGCGTTTCTCAAGCCACTGCCGTTATAAAAGCTTTCGAAATTGCTTTTCTATTCCACAGGGCTGCAAATAAATATTTGACTTGACAGGACATTTGTCCGATCACTTTTAATTTTGGTCGGACATGACTTGAATTTGGTCGGACATATATACGTCACAAGATATATATAAGTCACGAAACAAGTATGTATAGCCATTCCGGCGCAACGTTAAGAAAAATGCTAGAATGCCTCGTAAATTTTATTGCAAAATGCAAATTGAGTGAATTTGCAATCGGATTTTGTCACAGCAAAAAAATGTATAAATTATGTGACAATATATTTTTTTGATCGGACCAATGTCCGATCAAAATTACTTTTGCTCGGACATTTGCCAAATTTAGTCGGACATTGTCCGATGTCCGACAGTAATTTGCAGCCCTGATTCCATGTACCTCGAATTTGCAAGTAAAATCTGGCGTCCCTGAAGTATGTCAAAAAAACAACAACATATCAATGGCTGGTATTCCCGTGAGAATATCATCGCGTCATAATCGGAAAGTAATTAACCGCAGAAACCTAACTAATCTTGTTTACGTAAATATCGATAATGATCAACTTTGCAAATTGGGCTCGAACATGCGATTTGCTTTATGGAATGCTAGATCTATTAATAAGAAAGCTGCAATTATATGTGACATAATTCAGTCTAATAAACTAGATATCCTTGCAGTAACAGAGACTTGGAGCAACAAAAATAAAAAGTTTTCATCGGCTGCTGAAGTTCTGAATACAATCAGAGACTTTGCGGTTTTAGAAGCGCCAAGGTTAACTGGTAGGGGTGGTGGTTTGGCTGTGTTTTTTCGGAAGAGTCTTAAAATAACCAAATACACCGACATAACTTTTCAATCTTTTGAACATCTAGATTTATAAGTTATATTTGGCAATTTTAATACCCGCATGGTATTAGTCTACAGGCCTCCGCCATCAAAAAAGAACAACCTAACACCTACTACGTTTTTTACTGAATTTTCCGATTTAATCGAGGACCTTACTGTTTCCGATAAACCATTTTTTATTGCGGGCGATTTTAATCTTCACATTGACAACAAATCAAACCCGGACACTGTAAAATTTCTAAACCTATTGGATAGTACAAACATGATTCAAATGGTGTCAGGACCCACTCACCGACGAGGCCACACCTTGGACCTGATTATATCACAGCTTGACGATGAACTTGTTAGTAATGTAAAGATACAACAAGAAATGTACTCCGATCATCGTGTAGTCAAATGTGAATTAAAATGTCCAAAGCCACCTTTGTCCAAAGTTCTCGTATCCTACAGATCCACCAAACACCTGGACCTAGATACTCTTAAACACCGCATTATGAAGTCCTTTTCCGACCATAAAATTTCTGACGTTACTGAAATTAATGAATTGATAGATATTTATAATGGATCTCTAAAGGATATTTACGATTCTCTATGTCCTATACAAACAAGAGAGATAAATTATCGTCCATGGGCTCCTTGGTACAATGATGACCTACGTGCAGTTAAACGCGAGAAACGACGCTTGGAACGGAAATTCAAGAAGTCTGGCCTTACTATTCACAAAGAATTATTTACGGAAGTCTGTAAGAAGTATAACAAAATGCTAGAAAGTTATAAGACCAGCTATTACAGAGATAAAATTAATCAAGCCGACAGAAACAAACTTTTCCGCCTTGTAAATGGACTATTCCAAAAGAATAGCAAAGCCTTGCCATCTTATACATCATTGGAGCTCCTTGTTGAAGAGTTTAACGACTTCTTTATCAATAAAGTTCGTAATATTAGAAATGAACTGGAACTGTACAAAGAAAACCTTGAAATAACTATATCACCTCAATCTCCGAAGCTGCCTCCTTGCAAGTTTAAAGAATTTCAACTACCCAATGAGAGCTCTGTGCAACAAATCATCAAGTCTCTGTCTACGAAGACCTGTTCGTTAGATCCTATCCCTACTCATGTACTTAAGAATCATCTAGAATCCTTGACTCCTATATTTACAGATATAGTTAAAACCTCACTCTCGGAAGGAGTATTTCCAAACACACTAAAGATATCTCATCTTAGTCCACGTCTGAAGAAGCCAGACCTTGATAAAGATCTATTTCCAAACTTTAGACCGATCGCCAACATAGCTTTTCTTAGCAAAGTCTTAGAGAAAACAGTTGCGGTTCAAACACAAGATTTCCTGAATTCAAATAACCTTTATCCTTCTTTCCAATCAGCTTATCGAAAATTCCATTCTACAGAGACAGCGTTACTGAAAGTAACTAATGACATCTTAAGAACCCTTGACAATCACCAGGATGTCATTCTTGTAATGCTTGATCTATCGTCAGCTTTCGATACCTTAGATCACGATATATTATTGGCAAGACTTGAATCATATTTTGGATTTTCGGATACAGTAATAAAATGGTTTAAATCATATCTCACTGGACGTTCGCAATCTGTTGTAATTGGCGATGTTGTGTCCACATTAAGACATCTTGAATATGGCGTGCCACAGGGTTCAGTCTTAGGTCCCTTGCTATTTACACTCTACATAGCTCCACTTGAAGACGTCATATCGAAATACGACCTTGGACTTCATGTTTTATGCTGATGATTCCGATCTGTATGTCGCTATAAATCCTAATAATCCATTGACGTCCTATGAAACGCTTAGCGATTGTATAAATGAAGTTATCTTGTGGAACACCAGAAATATGCTACTTTGTAACCCTGGAAAAACTGAAGTTCTTCATCTCTCATCTCGGTTTAAAAAACATCAAAATCTGCAAGAAAATTTCTCATTTGCCAACACTACTGTCCAAGTGTCGGATAAAGTAGTCAACTTAGGAACTGTACTTGACAAGAACATGACTTTATCCAGCCATATAAATGAGATGTGTAAGAAAGCCATTCTAAACATAAAATCAATTGGCCGGATAAGAAAATATCTATCTAAAGAAGACCTAAAACGACTTGTAAACGCACTGGTAATTTCTCGTCTTGACTATGCAAACAGTATATTGTATGGACTCCCTAAGTACGAGCTGGACAAATTGCAACGAGTCCAGAATGCAGCAGCCCGGCTAATTACAGGGAAAAAGAAATCTGATCATATAACACCCGTACTGAAAGAATTACATTGGTTACCGATTAAATATCGAATAAATTTTAAAATAATTCTCCTAGTTTACAAGTCACTACATAACCTAGCTCCAGATTATCTTCAAAAAATTATTGAAGAAAGATGTCCTACACGTACACTTCGATCCTCCCGATGTTCACTGCTTTCCACTCCAAAGATATACACCACGACATATGGAAAGCGTGCTTTTTCTCATGCTGCCCCGGAACTTTGGAACTCTTTGCCAGAATACATTAAATCCGCTGAGTCTATTTTAGAATTTAAATCTTTTTTGAAGACTTATTTGTTTAAGGAGGCATATGCTTGCTAACATTATATATAATATATTATATACGAAAATACTTTGTTCCACTAAATCTATTTTATCTGTAATATAAGTTTAAATTTTAACTAATATATAATGTAAATATAAACTATTTCAGTAAATTTAAATAATTTTAAGCCATTGTAAGCGCATTGAGATTTTTAAATGCGCATAAGAACATTATTATTATTATTATATTATATATATATACTGTATATATATACTGTATATATATATATATATATATATATATATATATATATATATATATATATATATATATATATATATATATATATATATATATATATATATATATATATATATATATATATATATATATATATATATATATATATATATATGTGACAAATGCCAGTACTCTGCTCAGCCGACAAGACTTCATATGTGACAAACAGAACAGCTACGTTTGAAGAAGTTTATTAAAAAAAGGTATATTAAATACAAAAACTAAATTTTCGGCTGCATGCCACAGCCTTCTTCAGAGTGCCTATAGCTTTACACAGAACATACTTATATACAATAAATTATGAATAAATTACTATTGTTGGGCGAAATCATGACTACCATTAAGGCCCTTCCGGTTGGTCAACAACATTCCTATCCAAAAGTTTTCACTCTTAAGTACTTCACTATGGTGTTGGTCAATAAGCATAAATTTTAAGCTCGAATGATCCGCCTCATGCACATCAATAAAATGATTTGTTATACTGCATGTCCGGCGCTTATGCTTAATATGTGATTTGTAGTTAGCTAGTCTGGACTTAAAATTGGCCGTAGAGCCAACACCTTGCAAACCACAAAGCACACACTCAGCAAGATACACTACATTACTGGAAGTGCACGTCAAAGATTTTAAAATGAGAAATATCCTTCCAGTGGCAGCTGCACGAAACGAATTGCCAAAAATCAAAAAGTTCTTACAACTATCACAGCGCTTGGCATCACATTTGTAGCAGCCTTCACCTTCCAGTTTATTAGACTTATATGGGTTAGATGGTGCTAATAACTCCTTCAAATTGGCATTACGCTTATACGAAACAAGAATGGCACCCTCCGGTAGAATTTTTTTGGCCTGTTCATCACTATCTAAAACAGAGCGATGTTTACGAAAAATTTTTTGAATATCAGGAGCACTAGGATTAAACTTGGTAACAAAAACACAGGAATTACGACGAACTTTACGTCTACTGGTACGCGCTTCCTCACGAGTCATAGCACCAACCACCTCAAAGGCTCTATTGACATGTGCACTGTCGTGGCCGCAATCCGTAAGATATTTCCTATAAATCCTACTTTTTTCCCAAAAATCAGCGTCCCTAGAGCATATGCGACGCAATCTCAATGCCACTCCTTTGGCAATACCCAAAATTTGAGATTTTGGGTGCGACGAATTGGCATTGAGATACAAGTGTGCGTCCGTGGGCTTACTATAAACTGTAGTTTCCATACGATTGTTAACTATGGAAATCAAAAGATCGAGAAAATGCAAACTACGCCCACCCACATCCATAGTAAACTGTAGATGCGGGTCGAATGTGTTGAGATCCTGAAAAAACGCTTGAAGCCGTTCCATGGTACCCCGCCATAACACAATCGTATCATCTCGAAATCTAAACCAACATCTCAGTTCAGGATAAATAGAACAAGATTCTAGAACTTTTTTATCTATCTCTTCTGCGACAATATCGGCATATGAGCAGGAATTCTTAGGTCCCATAGCAGTACCATTTTCCTGCAGCCAATATTGCCCTCGATACATGGAACAGTTTTTCTTCAAGCAGATTTCCAAAGCTTCAATAACACACTCTATAGGCACATCGAAAACCTCAGCATATATTGCAAAAGTTTACAACGTACTCGCTCTATTCCCGTCTGATTGTCTATAGATGGGAACATATTAGTGATATCAAAACTAACTAAGAGATCCTCATCCGATAGCCCCGTTAAATTAAGCTCATCCACAATATCTAGCATATGTGTGGTATCTCGGACGCGACAAGAAATAGAATCTAAAGCTATTTTACAATATTTTTCAACGAACAAAGATAAATTCCCTGTGGGCGTACTACATCCCGAGGTAATGACCCGTGCGGGATTGTCAACTTTGTGAGTTTTAATCAAAGGGTAATTAATACCTGGATGTGTGTTATTAGTGTTAGTAATGAACTTAATCCACTTAGCAGACAAACCCATAGGTTGCCATTTGTTTATCCATTGTTCAATCTCTAAACCAGTCTCAGACCATGGATCGTAGCCTACGTTTTTAAAACAACCACGCTCCATCTGTTCTTTAACCTTATCAGCATCAAGTTTATTATCCAGAAATACAAAATTGTTACTCTTGTCTTGTAATCTCACTATAAGATCTCGTTCTTCAAAAGGAGTGGAACGAAACTTTTTTAGGGCTGTCCGTTCTTCCACTGATAGATTATCGCTTACCTCTTTTGCTGTTGATTTAGCAAACAAGTCCTTTTCCACTTTTGACAAAAATACTTCAATAGCTGGAACATTGGCCAAAGGTGGTTCCTTTACAGATTTCTGATACGGTGGCTCGAGTGGGTCAATTGCAAATTCGGGACCATCAAGTGCTTTCTCTGGTGTGTAAAACCATGTACGCCATCTAACTTTTTTCTTAAAATCCATCCAATTTAATTGCAGTTCATTCCAGTCAATGCTAGTGGGTGTAGGCACAAAGGAAGGACCACGACCGCACAATTGAACTAAAGATTGTTCTATATTCTTATCTGTAAGGTTGACTGGCTGGTATCCATGCGGTCTATTTATTGGCTCTGAAGTTAAGGTTGAGCTATTCGCTGTAGGCCTTGCAGTTCTCAGCCCATCTCGTGAATACTTTCTCAGACGTGACATCTCAAACGTATCTTTCAATTTACGAGTCCGCTCTTCCAGCTTAGACATAATGTGATGGGCCTTTTCAGGATAAAGTCTTTTAATAGCTTGCGTGAGTTCCCATTCTTCCTTACTGAACGAGGGGATTTTATGTTTGTAATATGCTTCAAATAAACCCATAAGTTTGACTGAGCATTTCCTCAATGTAGAGTTAACTCGCGATGTAATAACTGAGTCAGCAACACCAGAATGAAATTTCAACAGGAAACCCTTCGGGATACATTTACATGTTCAATAACGCCCAAGTAACGTAACGTGATGCTGAAATCGAACTGCTTTCTCACGGCAAGCAAATAAACGGTTAAATAAATAACTAACTTCGAAACGCTCCATGGAGACAGAGTAAAGTAGAATAGTATATGTGACAAATGCCAGTACTCTGCTCAGCCGACAAGACTTCATATGTAACAAACAGAACGGCTACGTTTGAAGAAGTTTATTAAAAAAAGATATATTAAATACAAAAACTTTTGTATTTAATATATCTTTTTTTAATAAACTTCTTCAAACGTAGCCGTTCTGTTTGTTACATATATATATATATATATATATATATATATATATATATATATATATATATATAGGTTATCATATAAGGGATGAGGTGATATCAGTTTTATCGCTCGAGGCAAAGTAAACAGTTTTGATTTTTGAAAAAATAGGATCATTTTAGAATTCAAAACAATTCATCATTTACTGAACAAATATGATTTTAGAAAATAAATAGACCATTCATATAGATAATATACAATTTAAGTCTTTCATTTTGTATTATCGTTCTTGTTTTCTTCGATAAACTGTCGACATCAACCAACACGAACCTCGAGTCGGCCATCTTTGTTTTGACAAGGCGCGAAATTTAGCGGGACAAAAAACGATATCCGGGACAAAAAACGATATCCGGGACAAAAAACGATATCCGGGACAAAAAACGATATCCGGGACGATATCGTTTTTATGTCCCGCTGCTTCCTACCTGATAAAGGTACAAGTATGTGATAAATATATATATCAATAATTCATGACGAAAATTAAAAAGAATGAGATTTAATCTGATTTTAATCTGTAAATCTGATACAGATTTCGTCTTGAATAACATAACTATTTTTCTCAGCTGAAACAATGTGTATCTTCGGACCTCTCTAATATACGGACAATGAAGGGATGCAGCTACGAGTGTCCGTATCAGAAAGGTGTCCGTTATATAAATGTTTCTGAAAAGAAATCGTACTTGATAAAATTATTAATGGATGATTCCAGCTATCAACTAATTTTTATCTGGACACGAAAGACGAAATCTATCATTATAGCTCAAAAAAGCATCCTAAAATTAGTAAAATTGCAAAGTTTGGTTGCGAAATGTTGTAAAATACGGAAAAATAGCCCGGTGAAATTAGCAAATTTTGAGTATTTTAGTATTACTCGCGCGGTAAAAATAACCACTTTCGGCTCAAAAATAACCTGAATGTCAGGTCTTTACTTTTTTCCAAATTTGTGAATCTGTCATTTGTAATTATAAAAACATTGCTGTTCATGTCTGCTCTGGACTCTGCCTCTGGTCATAGAGATTTTGATCATGCACGCTTCATATAAAGCTTTAATATAATCCT